AGGATCAACTGGGCGACTCTCCTTGAAAGAGGAGCAACTGTCTCCATTTTGGCTGAGCCTGACCTTATTTCCATGTATTGACATGTACAGAGCTGGCTGGGACTTGTCCTTATCTCTTCAATTGGCCTTAAGCAATACATATTGCCCAGAAGAGGTGCTGATGGTAGTCACTGAAGACCACAGGTGTGCTTCCCCAGATCACCCCGGTATTCCCTTGAGTGAGACAGGATGAAATGGGATGAAGAACCAATGCTCCAGGCTGTCAGCTGGGATAGACACTCAAGATAGAGGCTACGACTTCCTGGGGCTTGAGAGATTATCGATCAGAACTAGACCCCAAAACATTAGACACTGTCTCAGTTGTGTTGTGCAGATCACTCTTTCTGCACATCCTTCTCTCTGCATTTGTAGAGGTGCTTTCAGGCCTCCTACCTAGCCCAGCTCACGGCACTCACCTACTTCCTGAAATTCTCACAGTCACTCTTCCTCAAGTCACTCCTTCCTTCATGAATGAATAAAACCCTGGTTCAGCCTTGGGCTGAGGCCTTTGTTCCAGACAGCCATCATCATGGCTGGACTTAGGACCCCTTGGTTCCCCATAACTACAAATATGCCCTTGTGTCTTTATTCTCACCATGGGTTGCACTGGAAGTGATAGATTAGAATTAACTCATTAGAATTCCAATAACTTTTCATGGGATTACAAATATAAACTTCCTGTGCCTCGACAAGGCCTGGGAAGGGCTCTCTACAATTAATAATTATAATAATTCTCAAACTAAAGGCAAAGATTCAGATTTTGTGAAGAAAACTTAAATTACATGTTCATTGTAAATTATAAAATGTTTAAAATAACGCTAAAATGAGATCTTGGGATGTAGCTCAGTAGTCGAGTGTGTGCTTGGTATTAAGACCCTAGTCAATCTCCAATGCTGAAATAACAATAATCCTACTAAAGTGAGAGACAAATTTAAAGCAAATGCTGTAAATGGCAGTTTCATCAATGAAGAATATGGATGCCATGAACACTAATAAATGACCGAAATATGTTAACTAAAAACACCTGTTAGAAGCCAGAAATGATGGTGTGCTCCTGTGATTCTAGCACTCTGGAGGCTGAGGGAAGAAGATTGTAAGTTCAAGCCCAGCCTGGGCTAATTTAGTGACTTAAGGAGATCCTATTCTTAGAAATAAAAAAAGACAGCTGGCAAAGTAGTTAATTGGATGGCCTTAGGTTCCAAACCCAGTATCATAAAACAACAAATAAACAACCTGTTATGCACTGATAGAAACACAATTACAGTGAGATTTTTGTAACATTCTTCTTCTGATGAATTAAGTATATTTATATATGCACGCATACATGCATAAAAATGTATGACCATCATGCAAATATGTAGGATTTCAGTGGTAATACAGAGGGATATATGTAAAATGTGCTGTTATGTGTCTACTTTATATACATATTTATATTAGAAATTTCTATATTGATATGTGTATATGTAGTATGTAACTTACTAGGACAATACATTTTTTTACCAGATATCCATGAAATATTTGCAACACTATACTTTGCTACATGTAAAACTGCAAAAGACTTTGAACTGTTTCAAAAAGTGCAATTATAAGTTTGTTTCAAAATAAAGGGAAGGAATGGTTACAAATAATTAGACACAAATAAACTTTGATGAAAGTGCATAAAACTATGAATAGAAATGAGAGATTAGGCTTTGATAGAGGAAATTGACAAATTTTAAAATAAAAGATTAACACATCCTACACAAACAACAATACTAAGTTGAGAAATTCAACCATAAAAGCAAAATATTAAAAACTGAGAAGTAAAATGAAGTACAAGTTCCTGTAAATAGGAAAGGAAATCGTTTTGTTACAAGCAATGAGTACGAGCAAGAAGGCTTATGAAAGATATGAACTGAGGGCCAATTCTTCAACAGTAGGGAAGGAATGGACGCTAATTATGGAACTCAAGAACCTGGAAATGGAAAGAGGGTGATGAAACCTAGGTGATAGAAATGGGGGCTCATGGGAGATATTCAAACTGAAGTGCAGACTTTGTTCCGGTAAAATGGCTGACTGAGCTAACACAGATTCTTCTTTCATCCAAAAACAAGTGGAAATGTTGAACAACAACAACAAAAAAGCCGAAATAACTTTGAAAAATATAGCTGAGTTCAAAAGTCAGGAAAGAATCTCCAGGTGTTAGAGCAAAGCAAACACAGACAAATGCAGTGCAACTTTGTGTTCCAGGCCAGGTTAGCTTCCTGGACAGTGAAATCTTGGGTGAAATCCAGCTGTAGAACACATTACTTGAAGCAAAGGTAGCAGAAAGAGGCAAAGGGAGGTCTTGAACTGGGATGCTGCACCTCAAGTCCTGTATGGGGTTATCAGGCACTTGGGAGCTGAGATGATCCTTCAGAAGAGCTGCTAGTCAAAAGACCTGGCCTCTGCTTCCACAGAAGCATCAGGAGGTGTAGACTGGCTCTGAGAAATGACTCTTGTTTCTGACTGAGGACAGATCTAAGAAGGACTCAGCTGAGAACTGTCAGACAGTAGCCTGACCTCTGAGCATCTTGGCAGTGGGTATCCCAGACCAGTACCACGTGGGATGGTTCTAGAGACAGCCATATAATCTTGGCTGAATCAATTTTTTTTCACAAATCATTTAAGTGCATTTATAATAATTTTGACAATTTGAATTTTTTTCTTTCCAGGTCTTTGGGAAGATCTACACAATCTGTGCAGGCCACTGTCTTCTGTCCAAAGTATATGCAAAAACACATAGCTATGACTTATGTACAAATATAGTAATCTCAGTGTAATATTTATCAGTGGAAAAATTGAATATGAAAAATTGAGAATTACCAAAACTATGAGAATGGTAAAATTACATTCAGCTACTAAAATTATGTTTTCATATAATGGTTATTAAGATGTTAATATATGTATTCCCAATGCATAGATTGGAATATTCTAATATTTCCAATATTTGAAAAGATTCATTATGTTAAATTTTACAATACTTGCTAAGGCATTAAAATATAGAAGGAAACAGATCAAAATAAAGTCAGAGTGTGACTTTACAATGTATGGATTCTACATTCTTTGTATTTCAAAGATTATCTAAGATCATATGTTTCTTTGACCAAAAAGAAAAACTAAGACGTATCATGTACAGGTACAAATTTCCTATGATGAATGTGACCACTATGTATACCTAAATTACCAATAAACATTTTTTAAAATTAACATTGTTTATAAAACTAATGAAGTGGATTTATTTTAGTATTCCATTAATTGAACACTTATATGTGACATGAAAAATAGTCTGTAAGAATCAAACAGTATTTTATTGACAGATTTTTAATACATTTTTGAATCTTGCTTTCAATAGTACAGTCATTCTCCCTTGGTGGCTATTTCACTTTCCATAGTTCAGTTATTCATGGTCAACTGTGGTCAAAATATTAAATGGAAAATTCCTGGAATAGGTAATTCTTAATATTTAAATTGCATCCTGTTCCAAACAGGATGCTGAAATCTTGAGCCATCCTGCTCCATCTTGGCCCAGACACAAATTCAGCATATCCACACTGTTCAGCATGTCCACACTGCAGACACTCTTGCCCATTAGTCACTTAAAGACCGTCTTACTATCAGATCTACTGGGTCATCACAGTGCCATGTTTAAGTAACCCTTATTTTATTTAATAATGTCCTCTAAGTAGGAAAACAAGTAGTGACGTTGGCAATTTGGATATGCCAAATAGAAGCTCTAAAATGCTCCTTTTAAGTGAAAATATGAAAGTTCTTGACCTACTAAGGAAAGAAATTCTCATGATGAGGTCACTAACATCTGTGGTAAGAATGAAACATTGTTTCTGCTTTATCCATGGTTCCAGGCATCTACTGGAAGTCTTAGAACACAGACACAGCTCCCAGGTTGAGGGCACTAATGTATTCTCAAGATGAACAGGAGAAAGAAGTAAAACTAAGGCTTCCTGGGTTCCTACATACCTGGGGTCCTTCGTGTTCCTTTCTTCTGTTATGTAAAGATTTTCTTAGTAGGCGAAAGTTTCAAAGCTGTTTCATTGTGTGAGTGTGTTTCTGTGTGTGGACGTGTACACACCCTTTCTTCATGTGTATTTAATTGCCAATTTCTTTTGGATCCTATGTCTATCTTGGTTATTCTAAATCAAGTTCTCCTTCCATATGAACCCCACTAGATAGAGAAACATGGTCAAATGACATTTTTCTACTGCTAAATATCTCACCCATAAGTGAGGAAGCAATTTCCAATTTCCAGTTCTACAGAACAACATCAACAACAACAAAACAATATTAGAAATTGCAGCATTCAACAGATTTTTGAATGAATGAGCTTTTCTTCTACTAGAACTAATTATGTGCTTATATTTTAAAGGGAAGAATCACACATGAGCCACACACATTAATTTAGTGGAGAAGCGCACATTAGTGTTCCTACTGCCTGCATTTTTGCTACTTCTCTGCCCTTTCCTCCTCTCATTTCTTCCCTTTTCTCTTTCTTCCTTTCAGATAGAATTTCCAGATCCTTGGGTCCAATCTCTATTTGTCTCCTGACAGTCTCCCTCAAATCTTTACCCCATTCCCTCATCTCTAGGTGTCTTTTCCACACCTCACAGTAGATTTCAAGGTGTCAAGGTGGGCGGTGGTGGGGAGAGGCCCAGAGAACCGTGGTTTTAGAAGCTTATGTGTTTGAGAGCCTGTGAAATCCTACCTGGTCTCACAGGCTCAAAATTGTTTCAATCCACATTTTCTTTGTCTTTTATACCTTTTAAAATTTCACATCCAATAACCACATTTGTACCCGAAGCACATGGATTCTCAGAGTTTGACTAAGCTGATCCTGCAGATTCAATTTCCACAAATCCCTTAAAGTGTTTAACTAACTTTTCTCATTTTGAAAAAGTCTCTGACAAAAACACAGGGGGAAACAATTGTTCTTGACATCACAACAGTTTAATATAGTAACTTATTCATTAAATTGTGCTTCACATCAATGGAAATCCTCAGTTCTACAAACTATCATTTTTAAATAGTGATAAAGGTTGATAATGTCACAATACAATTTCCTAGTAACCAAGTTCATACATATTATTGCACAGAAACAAAAAGAAATACCGCTTAGAAGAAATAATTTACTATCTATTGAATAGCTAACTTTACATCTAAAGTGGGGAATCAGATGATCCAGATTTTTCCCTTCTAACATTGATACATTAAAATAATAATAATAATGCAAGCAGAACCCAGAAAGTATTCCCAAAAATACATAGAAGAAGGAAAAGAAAAAATGACCACATGACTAAGACCAAAAAAATGGCAAGGAGATGGAAGACAAATGTGACACTGACTAAATCACACAAGACCTTGCCCTTTGGAGCACTATTCTCCCCGGGTTAATTTCAGCACTGACATCGGGTCCTTCGATGAGTGTCTTCCATGCAGCAGAACATGGAACTTGCAGAGGTTCCATGTGATGTGCTGAAAGATGCCAGTTGCAATATTTTCCATAGATAACTGGGAACACAGGCTCAAGATTCACCCGTGTGTCTGTGCTCTCAGATCCGCATTCTGCTAGGTTTCCTGGAGTCCTTGCCTGGAAGTTCAGACACTTCTGTGTTGCAGATGTTGATGGTGTTCAAGGCTGAGCCAGTCCTCTGGAAGGCTCAGTACTTCTGCAAGGCAGGTTCCTCCCCTCAATGAGCAGAGGGTCCATAGGCAAGCCCATCCACGAGGCTATAAAAAACACAGGTCTCAGATTCCCCCCATGCCACTTGCCCAGAAGAAGGGCTGACTCAGTTTCCAGGTGTTAGCTCAGATGTGTTCTAGGAAACGTGCTGGGACAAGAGCCGGCATTGGCTTGTATCCAGTAGAGATGGAAGAACACAATCATGAGGAAGCCAAGAGCGCCTTGGAGAAAGATCCATTGTCTGCTTCCCAGGAGCCACAAGCTGTCCTTGCATTGTCCGGTTCAGCCATCCCTGATATCCAGCCTGGAGGCTTTCAGTTGGAGTTTTGATGACCAAGGGAGGCAGAATAAGGATGTGAAAAGAAAATCTTAGAGTCACAGCTGTGATCAGATCAGATAGTTCTTAAGCCCAACCCAGGTTTCTCTTTGATTCAATCCTCCAGCTCACCAGCCTTCAGTCCCTAAAGCCTCCCAGCCCTCTGATGTTGTGTTAAGAGACTCATTCCCTTTGCTGTTCTTTTAAATCGTTAAAAGGATTCCAGTCCACATGTTTCTCCCCTGCCCTTGATCTTCTGGACAGAAACTTTATCATAGTCATTTTTCTACCTTTCACCATTGCTTGGCACATATTTTATTCATCATCTTCCTATCTCTAAAAGACCTACCTCCCATTCAAGAGTCTGTTTTTCTTCTATTGGTACCTCGACTCTGCCTAGACCCCTGCATTGGCACGATACCATTATACACAACCTTCTTCTCAGCAGAGGTCGGGGCTGGGAAAGAGTCGGATACACTCTCTATGGGAAGATGTTAGCTTATGACAGCTTAAAGCACTTCCTCTCTCCAGCAAATGTGCAAAAGAACTGATTTAACACCAAATAAAACCTCTAAGAGCTAAAGCAATAAGTTGCTGATAAAATATTGAGGAAGAAGTAGAGAGAGGGAGATATTTTATGGGCAGGGGTTCTATTGATCACCCCTTAAGCTTCTCTAACAGGTAACTACTGGTTGTGAAGGTTCCTAATGCTAAGTTTCCCGAAGGGCTGTGTGCATAATCCTCAGCCTTCCTCCTGAGTATTTTTTGGTCGAATTGGGGAGACACTCAGTTAACAGTGTTTGAGGGCCTCCCCTGAGTTTGAGCGCTCCTTTTCACCTCCCCTGAAGCACTGCCCACCTCTTGGGTATTTCACTCCTAATAAGAGGTCCCCTGGCTAGAGGCAGAAATGAGAGTCAAATCGACAGTCTCACTGGCCTTTTTTTAGGTCACTGCAGGTCTACAAAAAGGTGTGGGAAGATATAAATCAATGAAGATTTATATTTCATATTTTTGCATTTCCCAATCCCAGTACTATGTGGAGCAGCATAATGTAGTAGGAAAAGATATGAAATCAAAAACTAGGGGCTCTGAGCAACTTTCTTGCCAATGAATTAGAGTCTTTGGGAAACTTTTAACATCTCCGAATCTCTATTCCACACTAGCAAATGGGATAATGAACACAGGTCTCATTTGACACACAAGAACTCAATGAAGGCCAGATGAGATGCTAGTTGTAGAAATGTTTTGAAAAGTATTATATGCTATACAAAGTGATGAATATTAATCCCATCCTTTGTAAAACATATGATGAAATAAATGACATTGAATAGCAGTTAATATATTTTCCACTTCCCTTTTGTGTCAGATACTAATAGTTTTTTATCAGTACTAATTTTCACATTTTAAAAAATAATAAAATCCTCTTTTCTGCGCTTAGACATGTCTAATGTCCAGGTTCCAAGACATGATGTATGACTGCAAGAAATACGTGAAACATCCCTCTGCTTCTTCTCTACTGTCTGAAATGCCAAAGGCAGGAGCTTCAGCAGCCATCTTGAGGTGGAAACCATACATTAGAATGAAAGAAAAATAAGGGTAAACCTGGGCTTCTGGTAACTTCACACATTAGATCTATCAAACCAGTTTGTCCAAGTGGGAGAGAAGTAGTTTAAGTATCTCTGTTAAGATAGTAAATAGGAATCCTAGCCAATGCCCTTAATATTTATTTTTTAATGATCTGTTCTCACCTTCTTGCTAGGCCTATTTGATAGACTTTCTTCCCAATATTAGTATCATAGCCACTCAGATTTTTGAAAATGTTACAGTGAGTTTGCATATTTCAAACCTTTGACTAAACTCTTCATGACACAATTACCACCTTAGAGGAGAAGAAAAGGATCTGTATATTTTTTATTAACACATTATTTCCTTAACTTTTGTCTAACTTTAATTGTTAAGATTATCTACTACTTTCTCCAGTTACCAACAGTAGGCTGTCAAAAACCAGCAGGAGACAATATGTGTGTATCTTAGTTGTTAATAAAATCTAAACACAAAGGCATACACACACATGCATGCACACACATACACACACGCGCCTGGACGCCACATCCCAGTTTGGCTTGTGGTGATTGCATTACCATATGCACCTGGGAATTGCCAAAAGTGGACAGAACATGGAACTGCCTGGGGATTGATTGATTTATTTTTCTCTCTTTTTGGGCTTTGGACCCTAACACACTCGGAGTTGATTTAGTTTAGTAACTTGGGGCTGCAGCCTTTCCAGGATCCTTAGGCCCAGGTGTACTTTACTAGCATCCTTCCCCTGAGCTTCACTCAGCATGCAGGTGTGCAGTGAATTTTTGGAGGCCGCACTGTGTCCTTACTCCTCCAATTCTATCAGTATAGGACCCCAGTGATAAGATAAGTGTGCTACTGTAGAATGAAATGATGTGTGCGGGGGGCGACCACATTGGGTTCCTTTATTTACTCAGCACTGGCCTCCAGCCAACATGAGGAGGCGGTGTCTCCTCTGCACACCCTGCTATCCGGCTTCAAGTGGAGCATAATATATCAAGCCCGCCACTGTAAGGAGGTAGAAAGCCTTTTGATATAAATCCCAAGGTGTCTCAGGAGGCAGTTAGTAGGGGCTGCCTCCAAGTCTCACTTATGCATGAAATCCCTGCCAAAAAGTTAAAGTGAATTTAGAAGAAATAATCTGAATGCTTTCTCACTGGTTTGGATTTTCTACATGACAAAACACCAGGTTGTTACTGTGTGTGTGTATGTGTGTGTGTGTGTGTGTGTGTGTGCCCACACATGTCCATGTGCAATGCCGTGGTAGGTAAAAGGATAATTTTCAGCCTTTCTATTCTAGCCAGAACATTAGCTCGCAACAAGGGAATGTGAAGATCGAGAGAGACTTCTCATTAAATCCCTGCTGCAATGTTGCTTCACTTCCTACTTTAGGAAGAAATTACCAGAGGGAGACTCAGACATTTGGTGAGCCCTGATCCTGACCAACTCATGTGTGATATGTTCTTGGCTTTTTGAACTCACTCACTCTTATAAATAGGTACAAAAGTACAGCTGCCTAAAAAGTTATCAAATGCAGCTCATTGATGAGTCAGTGATGTAGAGAGGACTTACTCAAAGGCAGAACACGTCTGGGTCATTTCCAGTTTCGCGTTATCTTGCTGCTAGTTTGTGCCACCTACATGGGCCACAGAAAAATACTCTGGGGCAAAAACAGCTGATTTCTTGCGTGATTGTCAAGGACCATTAGGCAGCATGAGCCCATATCCCATATGGACAATATAGTGGGTAGAAGCACATTGCAGTCAGCCAGGCCTACTTTACAATCTGGGAGGAAACTACTCATTATCTGTGGGCTTCACTTTTCCCATGTACAGAATGAGATTAACAATAGCTGCATTGGTTGCAGGTATGAGAAAGGCCTCCTTCAGTTCATGATTGAAGGGGCCCCCCAAGAATGCCTTCTCTTTTACCACAGGGATAGCCAAGGGCAGTGAGAGAGGTTCCACAGCTACATCTCCAGATCTGTATTTGACGGGCATGCTGGGCTCCCCTCTGCACAGCTAGTGCTCCTTGAATGCTTGTTGGTTGATTAACTCTCAAGCCCAGAGAGAGTATTCTGGAGGCTGAGAAGTGGCTTATGTAAAGCTGGCTTAAACATCAAACATGTTGGACATCAGTGAAATAGGATTTTCAATCTGATTTAGGGTTTTCACTCTTTTTGCCTTCAGCTCCTTGAAAGAACTGATCATATCGATGTGTGTGAAACTTTCTACCCACTCTGATCCTTCTTCTTGATGTGAGCTAAAAGCTTTCAATTCCCTCCTCCATACTTTATCCCTTATTATTCATAGACTTTTTGTTATTTTAGTTGTGACTGGGGAAAGGCAGAAATAAAGAGCACTTGGCAACATACCACATTTTAGGGGTCCAGTTTAATATACTCTACCCTGATTCACTGTCTGTAGTCACAGAGTAAGAACAGGAAAGGATCATGTGGGAGGAAAGAAGCTATCAGACTACGGACATTTACAATGTTGGGGTACTGCTCTGTCTGAACCCCAGGGATGACTGTCCTAGGAATGGTTCCACGTGTCCTAGCTCCAAAGAGAGTTATTCATTGAGCAACCTTAACATTGTTTTGTGTACATTCTAGTTACACTCCTACTTTTTAGGCCACGTTCTTTTTAAACATCATTTATGTGATGGTGCAATTTCAAATCTGGCAGTTCTATGTGAGAGAAGATAACTGCTCCAAACAAGTTACTCTGAAATACTATTTTATAAAGGAAGATTCTGTAACCATCTGGAAATGTTAAACACCAGTATTTCTCCTCATTTTTCCCCTCTCTTAATTCATCATTCTTTCCTAACACTGACTATTAAAATGGTAAGATGTAATCTGCTTACGCATTAGTAAATAAGCCCTCTAAATGCCCCACCAATGTTCATTTCTCAGGGACCACAAGCCGTCCTCTCCTGTGTCAGCCCCTGTGCTCTAATGATGAGGAGGAAGCAAGGCCGAGAGCTCCGCTGCCACGGTTTTGTAGCCTATGGGTCTCTAGAGACGGTCAATAGTAGAGCGATTGTGTTTAAAATCAATTGCAACAACAAAGCACATTACCTGTGATTTAAACCATATTCAAACAAAGTTCAAAGTTCAAAGATGAGGACCAGCAGCCAGGGAAGGCTTGCCATTAAACCTCATCTCAGGGTAGAAAGGTCCTTCTTTCTCTTTCTTTAAATAGACCAATATTCCCATGACAGTATTAAACAACAGTTGCAACAGAACATCCAAGCCAGGCATTTGGCTTTTCACGTGTGGCCCTTTGGGCTCCATTCACCCAGGTGCTCACAAGGAGTGAGACTGCTTTTAGATGCTTTTGTCCTTGACCTTCTAAAGTGGTCTACACCGGATGCATTCCTACCCTACTTAATATCACTGATCGGAAAATGTCAAGGAAATCAATGAACAAGGTGGATAATCTCCAGCAGGATAAAACTGAAGACAGCGAGGAAGTAGATGTTTTCGGAGTGGCCCAGTTTCTCCAAGGTAATGCAACAGAAGGTCGGCACACCTGCTTATCTCCCCCTCTGGAAAGAGGAGTGGGCAAGGGGTCACCATCTCACCACCTGGCTGTTGTAGTCCTCTGTGACAGTCCCCTCTGATGGTCCATCTTCTTTGGGCCACCGGTGGGCCCTGTGCTCCCGGTGCAGCCTCCGTTCCTCCTTTCGCTTTTGACGGTCCCTCTGGTGTTCCAGCTGCTTGGTGTGGTGATAGCGCTGCTGGAAGAGATCTTTTGCATACTCGTAAAGCTGTACATCCAGGAAATTCAGCTCCTCAATGCGCTGGCGGGCGCCCTCATTGATTTCCACATTGGAAGCCCGCGTGATATTAAATTGTGTGAAGGGGGAAATGAACTTGAGGTTGAATGTCCTTTCAAAGAGAAACTGTGTCTTCCGCTGGAATTCGGTGAGCCCAAAGAAGGCCATGTTTTTTAGGTTATTCTTTGCACTCTGCAACAGGATGGTGTTTCTCTCACTCTCGTTCATGAAAGTCAAGTTGTAGCAGCCCACCAGGCTGAGGTCAGCCAGCATGCGCACCTGGCGGTTGTTAGCCAGGTTGTAGCTGCAGTCCATAAATTCCCGCAAGCTGACCCCAGACCAGTCATCCCCAGGGTAGCAGGTAGGCAGCTCATCGGGGGTGGGGCTTCTTCCATCACACATATGCAGAGAGGTTTTCCATGTGGCCCCTCGCTGGACGTGTTTCCATTCACTCAGGTACCTTGACACTGGATCCCGCAACATTGTGATGTAATAGAAATTCCTGCAAGAAACAGAGGAAGAGTAGTTGATAATTCAAACACTGAGATTCTGAACCTTTGTGATTTCTATGTCAATGCTGAGTTAATGGTTCTTCGGTCAAGTGCTCAAGGTAGATCAGTTGCCTGGATTTGTCCCTATCAGGTGTATATGCACTTATTTCCATACAGATAGCAAAGCCAGTTTTCAATTATAAGTTTGCTGGACTTTTCCTCCTCATTCAAGTGTGAAGAGGAATGGCGTGGAAGGATTGGATCATTCGTTCATTTAGCAATTGTTCATTGACAAATTACTAATGCCCATGGCTGACATTTAGAAGCAACACCATGATTTTTAAGATTTATTATCCATTTGCTACTTTCTTTGATCCTTATAACAAGTTTTGCAGTAGATGGGGTTCTACTAAGTGGGAACAATGCAAGGAGGTGAAGTGATTACTCAAGGTCATGGGACTAAAAATGGCAAGGGTGAAATCCAATTGTCCACCTTTTCTCTTAATTCTGTTATTCTGATTATGAGGTAGGTGGGGTGAGGGAAGGATCGGCCATCCACCCAGTTTTCTCACCAGAAGTGTTGGAGCAAAGCCTGGAGGCCCATTTGTCACAAAAGCCATAAAAGGACCTCACAGAGGAGCATGCTGGACCCAGGTCTCCAAGCTGTCGTTTGGCTCTAAAGTCCCACTTTGGCCTGTGCCCTTCCACAAACACCTGATCCCAATTCACCCCAGTCTACTCCTCGGATCACTGAAGTGCACCTGAGTTTACTCAGACATACTCTAGGGAGTTAAAAGTGGTCCTAAAATGCTTTGAAAAGAACAGAAGGTCTCCCTGACCCCTCTATGAGTGGCACAGTACTATAGAACCCTGGAATCATGGCTGGTGCTAGGTTTGCCTGACTGCTGTCCAATGATCCCCACATGGTCTGTTATGGCATACATGGCCTACATGTTTGATCAGGACAAAATCAGGCCATTTTTGCTTAATATCTGCTCTTTGAAGAAACGACACTAGTATAAATATACACACAAATTGATAGCTGGGTAGAGAATCTGTTGAGGAATGACTTTTGGTTATATCTGCATCATGTTTCTATTTGTCAAATATTTCTGCTATCAAGCAGGTGTAGGTAATACTTGCTGGGATCATCCCTGTGTTGTCAAGCAGATATTTGCACTAGGAGCTAAGTGATGGAGGGTCTGATTCTCTAATGAAATCAAATGATGCCTGAAGCGTTCTTGAAAAACTGTAAAGAACAGAATTAGAGAAGCTGGGAAGTCACTCTTCCTGTTTCAGTCTCACAACACTCACCTCATCTTCGTGCTATAGATGGGGGCTGTTGGGTCAAATTCTAAGCTGGAGAGAGCTTCTGTGTCTCCCACCCCAAATCACCTTTGGTAAGAATAGCGAATCATTGCCTTAAAAGGAATGATGAAAGGAGAAGAGGAGAAAGAAAACTATGTCCCATTTTTGTGTGCTCAATAACGAAGTGCCAGTGGAGACAACAGGAAGCTCAACGGAGAAACTAAAAGAATGGAAATGAATGCATCCTAATTCTCAAAGAAGGGCGCCTCAGAGGGGTTAGTAAGCATATGAAGAATGGATAAATTGTTGAAAGCTTACATTCTATTTAATGGAGACACTTTATTCAAGTTTTCTAACTAATCACTCCTACATCACTCACAAAAATACTTTTTCAGATTTGGGGGTAAAATGTTTCTAATTTTATCTTAAATTGCATTGATAAAAGCTCTATTTAGATAAAGCTGAAACTCTTTTTATGCCAAATGTTTTCCTCATAGGCCATCACCAAAGACCTATGATGTTCCGAACTTGATAGATGTCAGGCATTGTGCTAAGGATATAGTCCATTTCAATATCTAGGAGGTGAGTGCACATTACTCTGTTTTTAACAGTATGGAATGAACTAAGAATGTGAGGAGATGAAATAAGCTGCCCAAGGTTACCTTGGTAATACATTTCAGAACTTAGATTTTATTCTCTCTCTCTCTCTTTCTCTCATCATTAAAAGAAAACGACTCATCTCCTAGCATTTGTTCTCTTTGGCCAAGCTAACCTGGATAGAAGAAAAGTACATGCCAAGTAAACACAATGGAAATAAAAGGAATTCAATGGTGAAATGTTTGTGTTTCCGCTTTTTAAAAGGAACTGATGAACTACAGTATTTAAAATTATTCTCTTTTCTGTATTTGGTTACTTTAAATGTATCACCTCACCAGTATGTAAGTCAGTCAGTTTTGAAATAAGCTAAAGAAACTTTAATGTCTTAAATAACATTTACTTCCCCTTAAATTGTTAGGAAAAATTTATTGAAGCTGCTAAGGATAGACCAGCTTGTGCCCTAGCTTTTATAATTACCATCTTACATTACTCATTTGTCTTTTCAAATGGTGGAATAACTTCTATCCATGGAAGAAAATGTCCTATAAGGTCAATAGGGGAATCTGGTTAAAGCCTGATGTAGCTTCTTGGCTCCATAAGGAAATACTGGCAATAAAGTTTTGCTCAGAGTAGATATTACTATTGCTGAACATTAGATGACATGCCAGCATTAATCCTATTTTAGCCCTATGTTTAGATGTGTTCACATTTCAATTCTAGTAGCACAGACAGATTTTTAATTCACAAAACAATTGGTCAATAAATATGTAAATAGAGTAATAGTGACAGTGACATAAGCCAGTGGATTAAGGATGTCAAATACATCAGGACAGAAGAATTTAAACCAAAAAGATCTTTGAATTAAGTCAAGTTAGATTGCAAATAGAAAATTTCTAACTTCCCTGTAACTAGACAAAATAGAAATCCTACAAAAGTATTTACACAACAACAAAAAGCCATCCAATCAATGTGTAAGTCTCAATCTCATTTATGACTCTCAAATTTTATATGATGGAGATTTTTAACATAACCATAAGAGTTGCAGGATCTTGGAGTTGTAAATTACAAAGATTGGAAGCAAACATTTAACTGAAGACAGTTGGAATATGAAGAAGTTTTTGTCTCCCTCGGGAAAATAAGCCATTGACTTTTTGATAACTTTGTTCCCTTGGGATCTATATCATCTTCAAGCTAAATGATACAAGATTAGGCTTAAAATGATCTTGGATTCAAATTTAACTTCATTTAGTTTAATACTGCATTTAACAATGCTTAACAAAATCTCCAGGAAGATATCCCCAAATTAGGGACGTTTGAATGAATAGAATTATATGCATTCTGAAATGTCACCCTAGAGTCCTAATATTAATGGCTTACTCCTCAGCTTGGTGCATTTGGAAGGTGGTGAAACTTTTAAGAGATGAGGCCTGATGAGAAAAAGTTAGGTCATTGTGTGCGGGCCTTTGAAGGGGACAAGGAGTGAAGACCACTTCTTGTTTCACTCTTTTTCACTTCCTGGCCACTATGAGGTGAATCATGTGCTATTTTATTACAAGCCCAAAAGAGACAATGCAAAGTCATCACAGACTGGGACCCTTGAAGCTATGAACCAAAATAAACATTTCTTTGTTAGGAATTGTTCACTACCTTAGGTATTTTCTCACAGTGACAGAAAGCTGACTACACACTTCCCCACTCCAAAACAATGGAAATTCATTTTCTTCTGTTTGAATAATTCCCAATTCAATTTTTCATGAAAGCACTTGAAAGATTCAGTACTACTGAAATTTTCAACTTTATTTTTTAGGCCTCATTTGCTGAATAACACAATGGGGTAAGAAAGTCAGTTTTCAAATGGTAAAGTAAAGTAATGTAATGTAAAATAACGTAAAGGAAAGGAAAGGTAAGGAAAGAAAAGGAAGGGAAAGGAAGGGAAAGGAAGGGAAAGGAGAGGAGAGGAGAGGAGAGGAGAGGAGAGGAGAGGAGAGAAGAGGAAAGGAAATGAGAAGGACAATCAACTCAAATGTTGTGGTGGCCATAATACAAAAGATATTCATTGACTTCCATTTTTTCTCACTCAGTTTCTTGAGACATGTTCTCACTTGCTCGTATATTTATCCTGATAGTTAATCTAAACTCTTCCCAGATTTCAGAAAGATAAATAAGTAAATTAATGTTCCTCATTTCATCAATTCATTCATTTATTCATAACACGCTGATTCCACTCTACTTACCAAGCACTGAGATTAGTCATGGAGGACACAGAAATGAATAAGACATTGTCCTCCAAGATACCTTGGGCAGCCAGTGATTTTGATAAAGTAAAAGAAATGTGAACTACTAAGTTTAGGGGAAATTCTGCCATTGTCCTTGGACCAGAGCAATCCTTACGACAGATAACTTTGGTTGTCTTGGTGACAGCATCCTGTGCACAGATTTTTCATTTGCCACTTACTTCATCAAAATCTTGAGTGAATTTATTTAAGAAAGTCTCACTCTAAAGTAATTCAAGCTCTTTAGAACTGTCTTTTTTGTGATCATGGTATAAGAAAGGCAAATAATTAGGTAGTGAGAAAGATGAGGGAGCTGGGTGCTTTGTTAGTCCAATAATTATTTTACCTTATCATTGTCATACGGGCTACTGTTGCTTAATGAAGTTCAAAGAAATGGAACGTCCCTTTTCCATGGCTAGTTTAAATTCACTTTTAGTATATTGCTCTGCTTTAATGTAATCACATGAAAGAATTCAAAATACAACATGGGACATTGTTGTCGTCTCTCACTATGAAAGTCTTTGGCTTTTTCTTTGCTCACTTGTGGCCAGCTCACCTTTTCCAGCCCAGCCAAGGCTTGTATCCACCTCCCCAGATGTTAGTCTGTAGCATTTCCCCCATCATGCATTGTATTTTAACTTTTATGTAAAAGTCTTGGTCACATCGAAAATATCAAGCTCCATTTTGATAACCATACCTTGGACCTTGTCCCATAGCACCTAACACCAAATCTTGCTTACAGCAGATGTTCAAAAAATGATTGTTGATAAAAGAAAATCGTTTCATAAAATAAATACATTTTAATAATTAAGGTGAATTGCTTTGGTAAGTGT